TATATATATATATATATATTAGTCCTAGTCTAATTGTAAAAAAACAAAACAATGACTGTGGACCCTTGGAAGATGAGTGTGTTTTGAATTTGATTATCATAATTATGGGACATCTTCATAACATATCTTCAACTTTGTCTGCTTCCTCCATATTTATAGGTAACGCTATTTGGAAGATATTTTACTTCACTCCAAATTTCAGTCCCAAAGAATCTAATGGATGCTACGATTATCATGTATGCTTCTGCCATGGGCCATATATCACATATCATGATCCACCATTACTTTTTGACCTCTTCAAGGACCCAGAAGAAAATAATCCACTGACACCAGAAACTGAGAGTCGTTTCCATGAAATTCTTCAAACTATTCACCATGCAGTGGACAACCACACCAAGTCAATACTTGCTGTTCCCAACCAGTTTTCACTGGGACATATCCTGTGGAAGCCCTGGCTTCAACCTTGCTGTTCTTCCTTACTCCAATGGTGTTACTGCAATCATGAATCATGAGGAAACAAAACTTTATGTAGAGCCTGATATTATCACTGAGAATTGTAAAGAACTCATGTTCTTTAGGAATAAACAAGAACACATTGCAATTATATTTCCTTAATATTTGTATTAATTGTGCTTAATAATAATGTAAGAGTTACTAGAACCATGTTAAAGTGGACTCACTCATTCTTGAAGTGCCAGCAAAAGAAGGTGATTGTATGATTACAATTTTGCTCATGTTCACCGAGTAATTTTTCTGAGTAAAATGGACATCTCTGAAACAAGGCCAAACCTCCAAAAAAACCAGACTGCATCCTTTACCAACAATGCATAATATTTTCTCCAGTGTAGCATCGTGGGATAATATGCTGGCTCATTATTTTGGTTCATCACACAATCAACTATCAAACATCAACAGCTGTCTATCCCAGTTCCTTGGGAAGAACTTGATAGATGGATAAAATTGCCAAATCCAGCCTGAACATCTGGCTGACTGTGCAATGAAGTATAATTGATTGCCAAATTGTTAAATTTAGTAGTAATTAAACTATCATCAAATCTGGATTTGGTTAGGGCCTCACATATCACTCTACCCAGTGGCACAAATCTAGGTTTCACTAATTGCAGCAGAGTATATCATTTAAATGCTGACTGGAGTTCATAGATGCAATTACTTTTATTTAAGCATATGCTGCAAACTCTTCCTGCCTTTTTAGAGCAATATAGTTTCTGGATGCATACTAAATGACCAATCCTTTACATATTAATTCAAGACTGGAGCAAGTGTAGACCTGGAAATGCATGTGAGTTCAGCCAGCAGAGGCAATAAATAGGAACAGAGATTGTAGTTAAGTGACATTTGAAAAGCCAGTCGCTCTTTATATCAATAGATAATAAATGCTCCAAAATTTCGATATTTTAGCCTACTCAAAATATAAATATTAGCAGGTAGAATCACCTAGGAATCTTCACACTGATGTAAGTGTGAAACTCTGAGATAGGTCAACCTTAACAGAATGAAGTTGCAAGAAGAGGTTCAGTTTTTACATAGGTGAAAGAGCTGGCCTGAATGCTTTGCTTCAAAGCTCATTTGGATGTTCTGCTTCACAGATTGCATAATCTAAATGGACAGGTTTACCACAAAGTGTTCTACATTAGTATTGCTATTCAAAGAGAAGATCAATTCTTCATCACATATTCACTCCCTTTGCTGATATCACCAGACTGACATGATTTAATGAATACATCTTTAATTGGGAGTCAACCATAATGGATAATACTATTATCAGTTATTAGGCATAATAGAAAAATGTAACTATTATAGTCCAATCCCATTAAATCATACTACATTACAGAGATATAGAAAGTTCAGGCCTTCAGATTCCTTCTATGTCCTCTAGATGTCAAAATTAAATTTAACTGTTTTTCATTTTGTTGGACATTTAAGTGCAGTTCAAGTGATAAATGAGACTGATAGTTTTAAGTCATCCACACTTTTTAAATCACCCAAAGTGTACTCAGAAAACAATTCCCACCCCACAGTCTTAGAAGGTAGCTCTTCATATGCTACAAAAAGCTTTGCATGGTCCTTAAACTGATGGAAATAGTTTATTCCTAAAATATTATTTTCAATGATATCTTCCTTTTGCAGAAATGTTTTAAATATTTATAAGAGCTGGGGCAAGAAAATTTTCTGTCCAAAATTAAAGACAGAATGTTCCATTCTCATGTTTTAAATGCAAAGAAATTGTCCTCATCCAATCACTTCTGTTATTTTCATGAGAGGAAAAGTATGAACATAGGACGACAATTAATGTATTTCACTAGATCAGTGAATCATAGTATTACTGCTAATTAATTTAACAATGTTAAATTATTGAATCACTTTATGCTGTAGCATGAGGCATGCTAAAGAATTAAGTATTGCATATTATCCCTAAAAGACTAATTGTTTTCAGTCTTTTTAACTGCCAAATGTAAATCATTTAAAAATTTGGGTCATATTTATAGTTTAATGGTATTCTTAGAATACTTCTATCAATCTTAGTATGATTATTCTGAATTTTAAAGGGATTTATGTAATCTACAAAACTATAACTATGTCTGTAAACTACACCTGTGTCATTGAAAAAGTGTATTATAAAAAAAGATTGTAAAATAGAAAAGATTAAATAAGACTGTGTATCAATAGTTATTATTCAAATGGAAGAAAGTCAATATCTTATACACTGAAATTGTTGAATTAATTGTGGAAACAGGAAAGTTCCGATTGTGTGAATGTTCCAAGAATGAGTCTCTGCTGTAGCATCAGCCCTCTGGAACATTCTGTCCTCAGGATGAGATTTGACCCATCCTTCTATCCTTCATCAAGGGCCTGAAGATCTGGTGCTGCTTCTTGGCCTGGAGACATAATAGGGTGCACCTCCAGTGTGGTGCATTTTATCATTAGTTGACCCCACACATCTCCCCCTCCATCCATATTTTAATTCATATTATTGTACTTTTATTAATAGTTTTGCTATTGTTATGTTTACATTTTGTTTTATCATTTTTTCTCTGTTTTACCATTGTAAGCCACCCAGAATAGCTCCACAGCAAATAAATTTAACTAGTATGATAAATAAATAAATAACAGATTCTGATTGTAAAGAATTATGGAGTTAATCTTGCAGAACAAATGAAAAAGTGGTTAAGTAAACAATAATTTTGAAAGAAGAGAAGGTAAGAAAAAAATCACCTGGATTCTCTTTAGAAGAACAGGAGATAATGGAAAATCAGATTTTCAAGATTCAGTTACTATAACTCTATAACAGTAGAGTTCCAACAGTACTTTTGGGGTTTGTTTCTGACTCTACCTACTTGAAGAATTAAAACCAACTGCTGAATTGGTTTGAACCACTATACAGACAGATTGAAAGGATTAATGAAGAAGTGGTAAATCGTTTAAACAGTATCTGTGAAAAAGAGGCTGGTCAGGAATTTAAAAGATAACAAATACACATCATACAGGAAAAATATGTTATTGTGCATACTACATCAGCTTTCAGATCCAAATAGTATTTGCAGAGCATCCTAAATCAAAAAATACGGATTTTTAAAGGTGAAGAAAATATTTTGAGAATCAGAAAATCTTATTCTAAAGGTCATAAGCTATTGTAAGAGCTGAGACACTTATACTTCCAAATATTGTTCCTCCCTCTCCCCCCTCCTCTTCAATCTAGCTGGAACTGATCAAAGCTGAGAACATCTGGACATGGTGGTTACTAGAGGATGGCATTTGAGTAGAAAAACTAAAGTGTAACCCAAAGAAAATTAGCCAGATCAGAGATCTATTTGTAACCAATAATCAAAGAACTACAAATAATATAACAATTTTGCATTTTGTGTTGAACATCAAACACCATTTTTCTTTTCAAAAGTCTAATACATTTCCTTTCCCCTTTTTAGTGTATGTCTGTTCAGTATACTTCTCTTTTTGTTATTTGCTTTTTCAGTTGTTAGGCTTAGGATTATGTTTACCACATTGTGCTATAAGAGAATACAAAAACACATTTGATATGACAAAGCTTTGGTATTACAAAGCAGTTGCATGACAATAGTTTATAGATTTATAATGCCATTGCAAAGTAGGGTGTTCATTCAGCTTCATTTCCTTGCTTCATTTAATCATGGGATACAATGAATGCTAGGTGTTTGTTTACTCTTCTTGCTAGAACTCTAAGTGCTTTCCTGCTGTTAGTAGTGAATAGATGCAGTAGACATTTATGCTTTGTGGTCTTCCATACCATGACTTGTTACCCTTATGTCTAACAAGAATAAACAAAAGTATTTCTTTGAAAGAAATTGAATCTATTTTAAAAACTTGAAATCATTTATGGAATTACTTTACCCTTATAATATTTCTTGCTGGAAAATAGATACCAATAGAACATAAAGGTTTTTTTTTAAGTTTCAAAACCTCTATGTACTTGAATATGTGGTCTAAGAAAAAGGCATTCTTGTATTGCTGCTTTATTTAAAAATATTCAGTGTACTTTGTTGTTTGTTGTTTCAAAGTCTCTATAGTGGTAAGACAACTTCATGTTGTTGATTTCAGCCATGAAAATAATTCCCATAATTCCATCTGGTCTCTATGTATTTCCATAATTTTCTTATGACCACTGCCAGAATTAGATGGAAAACAATAGGAGGAACATCCGATCTGGATCAATAGTAGCTAGGAAAGTACTGTACCAGATGTGTTGGAGTTGATTTAATGTCTGGCTTCACCTATCACTTTTAGAAAGGGACTTTTTGGTTAGATGTAAAATCATGCTAGCCTCGTGAAATGGAATCGTCATCAGACAGCGCTGGCTCTTTGGCTTAGAAACGGAGATGAACACCGTCCCCTAGAGTTGAGAAGGACAGGCACGTGTGTGCGAGGGGAACCTTTACCTTTAGAGAGGTAGAGGACTTTTTTTCACATCTTATAAATAAATGGCAGCAGATCTTATTTTAACCATTCTGCTGTCAACTGGGGAGATATCACTTCTGGATTTTGTGGTTGTGATTTAAAAAAAAAATGAAACTTTGACTTTGGTTTTGCTGATTAGATAGATTTGTTGCTATAGAAATGTTAGTTATATACTAATATGTAAAAAGTAGAAAGATGAAGTTGTAATGTTAGCTTGTAGTATGCTAAAAAGAATCGAAGTCAACACTTTTTTCTTTCTTCCCTTGTACCTCATATTTTCTTTTTTCTTCTCTTTTTCCTTCCCTTGATTTCCTATTTTTTTAATTTTTCTTTGTACTGTATACATTGATAAAACATGATAAAAGTTATGAGATAAAAAAGATGCTATGCTATGTTTATGCATTTCTATTCTTCTAATTTGAAGAATAAGTATTTCCCACTGAGCTAACAAAGCTAAGAAAAAAAACAGCTTATCTTTTTAAAAGCATAGAAAAATAAATTATTATACAGTGCAATCAGAAGAATATAGCATGGAGGTGCCCCTATTCTGTTGCAAAAGTAGAAAGTCCATCCCTACAGTCTGATGTCATGTACTAAACTAGGGGTTCCCAAACTTGGCAACTTTAAGACTTGTGGACTTCAACTTCAACAAAGTTGAAGTCCACAAGTCTTAAAATTGCCAAGTTTGGAGACTTCTGTAGTAAGCCTTGAACATGCTCCATTTTCATGAGCTGTTTTTATCATCATTCTGCAAATATTGGGAATTTCTCTAAATATTCTGAATATCTTTCTTTCTTTTGCCTTGACAATGATATGTGCTAAAGTTTAAGTGCTGAGAAGGTATATATAGCTAAATAATATTCATAAATAATCTAAATCTT